TAAAACTAAAAATTGGACTTTAGGCCAAATTTTTGACTTTTTGCTAAAGTGCAAGTATGACCTATATGAGAGATGTCTGGGGTCCTGTTGTAATAGTCAAAGCTCAACAAATGCACTCAAAGTTGCTAAAATTACAAATGCACACAATAAAATTGCCAAAGTCTACTAAAATCACGAATGCATACAATAAAATTGCTAAAACCCATAAATTTTGGCAATTTTCAAGTAATTTATAAAAAAAATCTTACATTAATAAGTTCCAAAAATTTCATATAAAAAGTTCTCAGTTTATTCTTCATTGGTCAAAAAAAAAGATGATAAACAATTAGATTCTACTTACTACACAATAAAAAGTCTTATTTAAATTAACCTTCTCTGTCATTATTTCTAACAATCATAAATAGCAACAATGAATATAACTCTGATAGTATCCCTTGCACTAGCTCTTATGCTAATTCTAATGTTGACCCTTATGCTAACCCTTATACTGATCCTTATACTGATTCTTATGTCGACCCTTATTCTAACTCTTATGTTGACCCTTGTACTGACCCTTATATTGACCCTTATATTAACTCAGATGCTGAACCTCAAAATAATGAAAATGAACTTCGTAGCACTGCAGCCAGAAGAAAGACTATAACAAAAATGAAGAAAAAAAAAGTGTAAAAAAAATCCAAGTAAATATCACTATCAGGAAATTTTTTTTATTGCAGTTCTGCGCAGATTTGCAAAAAAATCAAATAATAAATCAAATGAAAATCTGTGCAAAACTTCAAAATTTGATACTATAAATGCAGAAATTAAATGCAATTCTGTGCAAAATTTCAAATTCTAAAAAATTTTGCAGATATTTTACAACAATTCTTCAAAAATCTGCAAAAATACAGATTTTTGCAAATTTGCACTTATTTAATTTTCCTGATGACTGATCTAGTAGTCAAAAAAGGCTATGTAAAAAGCTATATATGAGACTACTTTCAAATAGAAAAGAGACATACAATATGTAAGATAATCATACTTAAAAACAGAAAAGATGAAGAATATGGAATGAATTACAAGTATAATACTAGAACTGGAAATATGAAACTTCATCTTCGAGTAAAGCATAGAATCTTGGGGCCAGATGATCTTAAACAAAATTTAAACAAAAGCATCAGCTATGTATTGATCAAATGGTTAGAAAAGTAACACCTTATAGAGAAAAAATTCAAGTGGAACTAAGAAGAGTTACTGCTGAGTAGTTGATTACTGACTCTTTGCCTTTTACTACTGTTTATGAAGTAGGGTATAGAAAAATAATTAATAGAGTTGACCTAGCATTTAAACCACCAAATCGCAAAAATATTAAAAAAGACCTCACTATTGCTTATCAAAAAAGTTTAAAAGAAATGAAAGAATTACTTCTTACTACTTGTGAAATAGCTTCAATTACTATGGATCTATGGACATCTCGAAATAATAATGCATATATCAGTATAACTGTTTATTGGTTGGCACAAGACTTCAAGATCTATGATGCCATATTGGCCATTGAAAAATAGTTTACCCACATACTAGTAAAAGAATCAAAGTATACCTATATCAAAAAATTAATGAATTTGGATTAGGTGAAAAAATAATTTGTGCTATTAGTGATAATAGCGCAAATATGAAAAAAGCTATTAGAATTTGGGATAGTATAGACTGCGTTCCCTGCTTAGTTCATACTCTCAAACTAATAGTTATTTAGGCCCTGAAAGTTATAAAACCATATACCTAAAAAATCAGCGAACTGATCAAATTTTTTAAATCATCAAAGCAGAATCAACGGCTTGACCAGGCACAGATAGAATTGGCTCAATATAGTAAAACCACCTCGACTTCCATTCAATTAAATTGGTTTGATGATTTAAATGAAAGCTCATCTGAGATAGAAATTGATGACAATAATCAATTGAAAATATTTAAAGCAGCACCTAAAATTTTATGCACAATTAGTAATATTAAAATCCATTAAAACTTGATATACAAGTCCTGGCAAAGACTTTTAGTACTGCATCTAGCAATTGAATGGCTTTCAGCCACTCTACATTTGAGAGATGAGAATAGTGTTATAGAGAATTATAATAAATTAAAAAATCTTATGCTCAATAATACTTAATGGGTGCTGTTACAAAAATTGATAAAAGTATTTAACCCATTTGATGAACTAACTACTTATCTTAGTGAAATCCATTATACCACTCTTTTAGTTGTTAACCCAACCATTGAAGTATTAAAAGCTAAATTTTTTAATAATAATATGTCTACTTCAGATAAGCTTAAAAGTAACAATGAAAGCATACCTGAAAGTGAAAATAAAAGTTTTTTAATTTAATTTTTGATACATACTACTAGTGTCCTTTAATTTAATTATTATTTACAATATTAAATATTAAACTCTTAATACTTATGATAAATATTAGCTTCTGACGATGAATTTGGTAATGAAAATTCAGATGATATAGTTGAAGATATGACCAACTGCAGGCTACCTTCGAATGAAAGAATAATTTCAGAAGTTCGAAAAGTTATTTATAATTCTCTTGAATATTATTGGCATGATCCTGAACATATTGGATCAATTGCTACTCTGTTGGATCCAAGATTAAAATCAATGAATACATGGTCAAATGAAATACGAAATAAAACAATTAGGGAGTTACGTACTGAGTTTAAGACTTGGGAGAGTATAGTTAAGAATAGCAAGCCAGTTGAAAATATTGGAGTGGGATCATCTTCATCTGCACCTAAATTTATAAAAAAAAATTTTAGCTATAGTTAACCCCAGATAAACCATGAAATTTAAATTGATAATTATTTGAATGAATCGATTATACCAATTAAACCTAAATCCATTGATGTTTATAACTGGTGGAATACTAATCAGGGTATCTTTTCTATATTAAGCAGGGTGGCATGAAAATTCTTATCAATCCCAGCCACTTCTGTACCAAGCAAATGTCTTTTTTCCAACGCGGAAAATCAAATTACTTGCAAAAGAACTCATTTATTTCCTAAAGTAGTCAATGAATTACTATTTGTTAAGCAAAATAGGTTATATTGTAAAAAAGTATGGGAATAATAAATATTTTTAAGTTATCATAAAATAAATTTATCAAAAATTTAAATAGAGTATTTAGCAATAAGTTAAAAGACAACATTTAATATTGAATTAATAAATAAATTGTGTATGATAAGTAAAGTAATAAACTTATCTATATTTTATTTGAAAATTATAGGATTAAATTAAAAAGTTATTTGAACAGAAAAGTGATCTAAAATAAAAGTATTTAATTAATTTACCCAGGTATATTAGGTAGGATTTTATATCCAGATATATCCATAGATCACTCGGGTAACCTGCAGGTTTATTTGTCAGATATCCAGATAGCATTTTTTGATCAGGTACCATCACTAATTTCATGACCAATTATAAATACTATTGATTCTTGATCTTTGAGTACTATCTAGAGTTTGCATTTTTTATCTGCCTTAGAGGTTTCATTTTGCACTAGCAAGTATATTGGGTTTTTATAACATAGATGGTAACCACTTTTTAGTATTCTTTCTTTTGCAGAAACCAAAACTTCTTTTTCTACCTCTGCAAACCATTGTGCCTTCTTTCTACCTAAACTTCTACTCCTTAAAGTTTTGAGTTGCTGCCAGATTAGGAATGTCTTGCCTTTATAGTCAATTATCTGTCCTAAATAAAAAATTCCTAGATTGATGCAAGAGACCTTACTCTTTTCAAATACCTTAAGAGGTATAAGATCTATTATCATAGGGCCTGTGCTCTTTATCTGCCACCCCTTTTCATCAGCACTAAGAAAAATCTCTAATTGTTTATATCATTTGATTGTATTACAGACAATATTGCTTCTCTACCTAGATTTGCCTGTTTCAGTTGCAGTATATTTCTAAAAATCTTGGCTTATCCTTTTACAAAAGATTTCTTGTCTAACTCTAAGCCTTGTAATTTCACTAATTGCATTTATGTTATTCAGGCTCTTCAGTAGTGCTACTGTTTGTCTTGCTATAAGTATACTAGTTAGTGATCAAAACCCAAGCATACTATTATGCAGTACAATATTATTTGGGCTTATCTAAGCTAAACCTAACTTTCTTTTAAATAGATATAGTATAGGTTGATAGATCACTGCTACCTCTCTCTTAGCAAGTAAAACAACTTGCAAGATGTACTCTAGTTTGGGAATCAAGACCTGATTATTTATATAAGCTAACTGATTTGCTATAATCTTCTTTTTTCTTATTACATGTAAAAAAAGCCTCACTATTTTTTTAGCTCTCTTTTTGATACTCACTACCTCTTTTAATGAGTGGAGCATGACATCTAAGTACTTTACATTACTAAGCTTTCTTTCTGCATTAATCTTTGTATCACAGAAGTCTATAAATCTTTTCTGTCTATCTAACACTGAGTTAACTACTACTAGCTTAGATTTGTTTCTATTTATCTTAATATCATTAAGTCTAAAAAATATTTAGCTATAAAAACTACATGTTCAAGCTGCTTTTTCAAGTTTGCTATTCAAGCTATATTATCAGCATAGGCAAAGACTGTTTGTTTTATTTCTTCTATATTATCCAACTTCATTAAAGTTTTTATTTTACTATATGGTTTAAGAGTATATTCTAGTTTTTTGTTTTTTTTTTGTTAAGCAAAAAATCATAAAAGATTCTTCAAACCAAGGGGAAAATGACCTTCCCTAATCTATACTATCTTTAGCTATAATCTCTTCTGTGAAACCATAGTTTGTAATTATTCTAAGCTTTCTGTCTTTAAAAAGATTTAAAATAAAACTATATATGATTTGTGAAACTTTAATTCTCTCAAGCATTTTGAGGTTTACAAAGTTATATGCTTTCTTCATATTCTGAAAAAAACCCACAGCTCCTTATTCTGCTCTATAGCCTTTTTGATTACTGCATTTAAGATTTGGATTGGTTCTTCTGTCAAGTTACTGGGTAAGGACCCTGGACATCTTAAATATAGGTCATAACTGATCTGCATAAATTTTGGGGTTTTTGCTATCCCTAAAATCAAGTAAATCTGCTAAAAATTCAATTATTACATATAAATTTTATAGTAATTTGCTAAAAATTAAATTATCACATCTATTTTTAATAA